TTCAGTCCTTCTGTCCTTCATTCCTTCCTTCCTTCCGTCCTTCAGTCCTTCTGTCCTTCCTTCCTTCCTTCCTTCCGTCCTTCAGTCCTTCTGTCTTTGTCCTTCCTTCCTTCCTTCCTTCCTTCCTTCCTTCCTTCCTTCCTTCCTTCCTTCCGTCCCTCAGGCCTTCCTGTTGGATCTCATCTTCCAGCGAAGCAGTAGTTTGGATCATCAGCAGCTTCTTTGCATGTCGAGCGAAGCTGCAGTTTTCAGAGCCAAAGTATTTTTTTTTTTAGGAAAGTAGGCCAAGAGCAGGAGGATTTAACGGACAGACAGACTGACAGACTGACAGAAGACAGCGAGGGAAGAAGGAGGCTGACGTGTAAACAACAGAGTCTCCATCAGCTGACATGAAGCTTCAGACGAGGACAACCTCGGCTTTATTCCCTCATCGCTGGTTCATGTCAGAGACGAGCCAGAACCTTTACATGAAGCTGCTGCTGCTGCACATCCACAGCGTGGAGACACAAAGATGAGCTTATTATTACAGAGAATTACAGGAAGCTAAAGAGGCTGTTCCATCCTCTCTGGTGTTTAGCTGTCAGCTGTAAAGTCAGGTTTTCCTCCGTCAGTGTTTGAGATGAGCAGCAGTGAAGAACTCACATCTGAGTTCTGTCAGAAACAAGAAGACGCTGAGAACAGTGAGGTTCAGGAGGGAGACCGAGGAGAGAGAAGGAACGACGTAAACCCTCTGAAACAGGATTCATCATTTATCCTGATAAGAAATAAGTAAATGACTGGCAGTGATTATTGTAACAGATTCTGATGAAAGTTTATGTATTATTTCTCCTTTCCACAGACTTTTCTCCACATTTTATGAAAATATCAATAAATCTACAAAAACAACCTTCCAGTGAGATAACAGACGTAAAATCCTGTGGTTTGGTGAATAACAATAAAAACTACAAACAACACTGATTCTCACTTTTCTTTTCTTGTTTATGAACATTAAAGTTAATGGTTTGTTATCAACTTTATATTTCATCCTTCTCAACATTCATCACAACCTAAATCAGTTTTTTTGCAACGTAAAAAGTAAAAAAAAATTGGGGGAAAAAATGAAAATCTGGCAGCAAATGTGACAGAAAATACATAAAGAGAAAATTCTCCAAAACTGTAAATACATAAATATATTTTTCATATATTACAAAAATCTTTAGAATAATTACATTTGTGATAGTTCAAAAACAGTTGAAAGTTTATTGATTTTGTTGTCAAATGTTGTTTTTTTTCTTATTCAACATGTAAATGAACACCTTTTCCTGTGAGTTTAATAGATTTGATTGAAAATTGAGCAAAAATTGAAAAATTTATTAAATAAAAATGTAAATTTTTTTTTCAAATTTTCTTTAATTTACCTTTTTTTCCCCCCAAAATAACAGGAAATATCTGGAAAATAATGATCTATTTAGTTTTTTAAAAAGACTGTAATTTTTCAGTCAAACATTCTGATATTATTAAATATTAGCTGCAATTTAACTAAACAGGAAAAATCTATAAAATAACAGTTGAAAAATGTTTTACCTTTTTAAATCCTTAATATCGATGAATTGTGACAAATGATAAATATATGTAAAATAATGATTGTTAGTTGATTAAAATATGGTAAACATACTTTCATTTTACGGTCAAACCTTGTCTGTGATTTTATTAGATTTTAGGAAAATTGTATAAATTGTAAATAAATATATTTATTTAAAACTCCTATCTGTGTCTGTCAGTTATCAAACCTCATTATCACATTAAAATCAGTTGAATACCAGTCCTCCCAGTGTTTCCCTCTGACTGACTGACTGACTGTATTTGCTTTCATCTGCAGTCACAGAACAGAGAAATTAAAAATCCGACTCCAGCGTCTCCTCTTCAGAATCTCCGGTTTGATCTGGTCCAGAAGGTTCGTCTTGCTGCCGCTCGGCCGACGTTGCATCATCAGGTGAAGGATCTGAGCTCCGAGCGCGGGATTGACAAGTGCTGCGAGAATAAAGACACGAAATAATGTGACAAAAGCACCAAGATGACAAGAGAAGCAGCTTCTGAAAACGACAAAGAAAGAAAGAAAGAAATAAAGAAAGTAAGTGTCCTTCAGAGTCATTTAGATGTACAGCTGCAGCCTGAACTGTAGAACCAGAGGAACTAAAATAAAACCCTGAAGAGAAATTAAAATGTTTGTTAGTCAAATGAAAAGGAAAGAAGAGAATGTTCCAGCCTTGAAGCTATTTAACATCAATGTAAGGTCCAAGTTTTAAAGATCTCTTCTTCTCTTCAAACTAAACTTCAGAACCTGTTCACCTCCAACCCCCAATTCTATTTACTACTTTACTTTTTTATTCTCATCAGTTCGGTTAAACGTCTTCAAGGCAGATCGAAGGTCTTTGCTGGTTGTAAAAGTTTCTGCAACACGTTGCATCAGTTGGAATAAATCTTCAGTTTCAGCTCCATCTGAGCAGCTGTCCATCATCTGAGTCAAACACTCACAGATTACAGATTAACCTATGAAATATATAAAACTGTACAATAAGAGAAAAACTACTTCAGCATTTTAAAAAAACACGTCACCTATTTGTTAATTGACAGTTTAAAAAAAAAAAAAAAACAGGACATTTTCCTGTTGTGTAAAAGTCATTTTTTTATTTAAAAAAGTAAAAAGAAATCAAGCTATTTAATTTATTGAAAGAACAGAACATGTTTATTATTATTATTTATTATAAATACAAAGTATAAAAATTGCAAATGTAAAATATACCGCATTTTTAAGCAAAAATAGAAAAACTTTTTGTCAAATAATTTTTAACAAATAGAAAAAAACAGAAAAAATCCTCAAATTTTGAAGTTGTTCTGTCAGAACAGTCCTCCAAATCTGAGCTTAAAGATAATTCATTAAAATCATTTCATTCAACACTAAAAATTCACCACAAATTAACAGTTTGTAGAAACCAGAGTCTGTCAAAATGGTAAAAAGTAAATTGAGGGACATTTGAGTCAAAGAGAACAAAGAAAAACGTGACAGGAATTAAAACAACAAGAAGAATCTGCTGTGAATCCAGATGTTCAACTGAAGGCTTCGTTGTTTTGGATGAAACTGAGAAGCTCTGACTCGCTGCCACGTTTGTCATTATCACATTTTGACATTTTTCCTTTAAATTATATATTTCATATGTTGAATTACATCTGTGCTTTTACCTGACAGCTGATCTCAGTCCTGTTTTTTAGTGACTTAAAATGTAAATTTTGCAGATTAAAGTGAATCTCAGAGACGCTTCAGTTTCCACCAGCTGAACTGTTTGGACACTCGGATCCAAAGATACTGTCAGACA